CAAAGTTACGTTATTACGAGACTACTGGTGCTACAACAACACATACTTTCTCGTACTATTTGTAGTTGTTACGTGATATGATAGTACTGATATAAGTAGTACCCTAGGCGTGCTCTCAGGAGGTGGGGACAGGGGGGGGTGGATCTCTGAAATTTTCGATAGGGGCCTTGCAGACCTTGGTAATAAAAACATTTTATTTCCATGTTTATAATCATTTCTTTACTTTCTCCGTTTTTAAACTGACAAGTTGGTAAATTCATACCAAGATTTTGAGAACAGGCGCTCCAAACTATCAAGCAACCTGTAAATGATAAAATTTAAAATTAATTACATTGATTAATTGTTTATTAAAATTGTAAATCCATTCTCCTTGTAGTACGTGTTATTATTTCCTAGTAAAATATTTCTTATGTAAATAAAAGGAAGCAAAAAAGAGGTCTCAATGCGTTTCAGAAATGTAACTACTTCTCTTGTTTTAGTCTGCGCACGCCCAAGCCCGCAAATTGAATGGCCCGAGCTGAGATTTGTAGTCCAGCGCCCAGGCTCCGTGATCAATGGTTTTAACCTGCACAGGGTAGGAATACCAACGCCTCCGTCGCAACACAAACGAAGTTCAACTTCGGTATATAGTGCTTCATTCTTACGAAAAATATATAAACAAAACCAAAAAATCCCCAAGCAATTCAAGAGCAGATTTCTATATACTCGTATGTATGTAATTGGCGCGACAGCCCATGAACGGGCTCAGGCGTACCGGCGACGTCCCTGCCTCGCTGCCATGGGTTAAGGGGGTTCGTGTGGTTAGCACGTAGACATCTCCACGCCGTATTCCGTTCTTCTCAACCTGAGAAGTGAATTTTCTCATCGTCGCACAGCACTCGGACATTGCAAGGAAAACCGGGACCGCGTAGTGGAAAGGGAGCACGTTGACCAAGAGCTAGCCACGAGCTCAGAGCAGATTTCTAGTGAATTAATATTGAACGTAAGTCATATTATTAAACGAAATTGGCTTTATTCAAGCACAAAATTTAAAGAAAAGTTTTTGAGCTGCTTTGGAGAAACTGAGTTACTTTTCCCTTATACATGGCGTTTAGCGAAACGTAGAAATGCATTATATTGAGCGTTATTGTATGTATATACAATATATATATATATATATATATATATATATATATATATATATATATATATAAAGCATGTGGTGTATGGGGGATTACCAAAGATAAGCACACAATTCATTTCGACTCGATTGACTCTCTTGCGGTAAAAAGAAGATCAAAATAGAAATAAGTGCAGATGGTAGCAATGGGATTTCTTAAGACACTTATTCATTATACAACTATCTATAGTTAAAAACTAGAAATCTAGCGCAGATGGTATTTCTCCTCCATACGTCACATATTCTTTGACTAAATAAATCAAATCAAACATCTACGCGTGGGGCCAACGCTTGTGCAGTCCACAGCTACTACGAATTTCACTATTGCAACACCTACCGTCTTTGTATTTTTAGGCCTTAAGGAGTCACAAAATGTGAATTTCCACTGCACGCGAATCAAAGAAAGAAATTTACTTCATTAAGAGCGACAAAAATCTTCTTTTTTTCGGCCAGCTGAATTAGCTTAGAACCAGCATTGCCGCTGTCTCTGTAGCGATTCTGACTTAGGGTTCGAGACCCGACGGTGGTAGATTTTCGAGACTAGCTAGATAGCTATCCACTGTCCGGGGGAAAATCTCTCTGTTCGCTGCTCTGTTCAGTAGTTTTACGAGTTTTTTTTCAATCAATACCAGGGAATGATAGAGCAACATCGTAACAAACGGATGCGATCTTTCCTTCTCCGTCCTTGTTCCTTCCTCTTCCCTCACACACACACACACACACACACACACATGCACTACACTATCGCACATGTCAGGAGTTCATTTGGGCGCTTAGAGCTGGGAGGGCTCACTAAGACCCATTAAACCAACAAAAAAAAAACACATTAGCTGAAGGCGATGTCTTGCTAATGGAAATACCTAGAGAGGAATCCCTAGGAACCGACTTGACGTTTAGGTGGGTGCCGGATCTGTCATTCCAGTGGGAGGAACACCGCTACCTCCGGGGATATGCTAGGCCCTAGTCTTACGGAACTAATGACCATGAGAGTTGATGCACTCGGAAATATCAGTCAGTTAAGAAATCCACTTTTTCGGTATCAGAGGTCCACATAATCTGTATTTCTGTCAAAAACAGAAAAAAAAACAACATTTTTTCTTGCAGCATTACATAACATTCTCTTTCTTCAATACAGTTACAAGAACATCAAAATATCTGAAAGTAAAAATTGTTTCCATTTTTTGTGCAATTGAAATCAAGATTTATCCTGTCATTGATATAAATGTCAAGAATGTTTTAAGGAAAGTTAATTGTCCAATTAATAGAAATAATATCCTGATAATGATTTCATATATTCTCGGGAATACGACAGAATGCTTGTAAGTCTTTCCATTACTACCGAAAGCCTTGTCGATCGCTCATTATCTCGTCAAGAACAGGGTCGCCGAGCTGAATGGTACACGCCATCTCGCGGCACTTATCGACGTGAAATCGACCGCAAGAATGACTAAAATAGGTAGAAAAGGTTAAAAAAGCTGGTTCCCAACAAACTCCACGCCATTTTGAATAACATTCACCCTGGAACTAACAGTATTGATCTTAGTAGTGGCGCAGCGTGACCTCACGATTCCACTTCATACCGCACCCTTCCGTCGTCGAGTTAACATCAGATTCAAACACGGCAGCAACATGGTATGTAATCCATGAATAATAATAATTCAAATGAATTATCGGTATTTGACAGTTCATATATTATTTTCGTTAGTTCAGTGTTTGTGTCCATTTTTTGGGAAAAGGAATTCAAACTATCTCAGCTGTTAATTTTTTTCCTTTACGAATTCACGAAATTTTAGATTTGTTATGAAACCTGAATCACCGTGAATTTGACACATTTCCACTGACGTATCACTGCCAATCTCTAAACTGTCTTGTTACTACAGAAAACTTGAAAATCCTAAGAACTGTCAGTACTAATAAATCAAAGAATTTTAGAACGCTAGATTGTTATAGACATTTTCCGAATTTTTTTTTATTTGAACAGAATTATTAGTTTTTCTTATTTAAGTACTCAACCCAAATATATTTTCGAGTTGGTTCTTTCGCTCAGCAGCGGAAACTACAAAGTAAAAGCAGCGCGAATTTTCAAAATTCTTTTAAATACAGTGTGGGAAATGCGCATTTTAACTCTCGTTTGTCTAATAAAAATGCAAAGTGCTCAAAGAATAATCAGATTTCAAAGCGCCGAGCGAATTGTGGTGACTACAGGAACTCGCCCGCGGGCCTTCACGCTTACGTCACCTATCGCGAGATCCCGACCGCCTCTGCTTGTCAGATATGGCACTCTCAGGAATGGCGACTATATTCATGGGATAGTTCAGTGGAATGCTGGAATTTGTGTGTTTATTGAATTGTGTGGAGGTTATTGCCAACTAAGAGTTAGTGATTTATTTAATCATGTAAGTATTTGTGTGAAATGATTTATGAACAAATAACCTAAAAGTGTATGAGATGAAACTAAGAGTCCAGTGCGAAGTGAAGGTAAGGACCGTGTATTATGTTCCTGCAATTATCAGTGCGGAACGGGACGAGTGCTTTAATTTGTGTGGTTTCCTTGGTTTACCCACGTGGATGAGTACTGTTAATCCGAGAGCTGTTATCGAGATTGCATTCCGAGCGTGCGCACACGTAGTTGTCCTTATTTGCGTGGGTGGAATGTACTGTCAGGGCGCGTGCTCGGCGCAGCTTTGTGTGGGGGCAGGTGTTATTGATCGGGCGAACTGACATCTGCGCAGCTACCATCTTGCAAAGCCGGGTTGGGCAAGTTTCTGGGGACCTGTTGGCCAGTTCATAGTCCATACCATTCCTCCCATGTTTCAGCTGTCCACTACTACGGGCAGGATGGCTGACCGGAAAGCAGAATTGGAACGAAAAAAGGCCAAACTCCAGGCCATTCGAGAAGAGAAGGAACGACGTCGACGTGAAAAGGAGCAGAAAGATGTAAGTTTCTGGATATTGAAATAATTAATTGGATTGTCGCAGGGTGGGGCTGAAAAATTAAGGTCGTCAAAGGAGTGCATGAGACCTATTTGTCTTTTTTTTTTTCTTCATGAATCTTCACTTCTTCATGGCGTTATAGAAAAACATTATAAATGAATAACTTTTGATTTTGTAAAATGGTTATGTATAAATGGTTGAATATTCTGTCATTGTAACAAGTAATAATGAAGTGTACAAACTTAAGAGAAAATGTGGTAGATACCTGCGATAAGTGATTTGCTTAGTTTCTTTGATATCATCTTAAATATGTTAATTTGTTTCTGAAGCAAATCATTTTGTTTTTGTAGAAGGCAGTGTAATAGAATGAGCTTGTAGTTGCTACATTCTTAATTGCCTCAACTTTTGTACAAAGACATAAAATAGTCATGCAAATGAAAATGGATCAGTCATATAAGTCTTCAATTAGACACATCTAAGGTGGTGAACTTCATGAACACTTTCGTTAATTTTAGATTTGGTAGCATTGAAATGAATGGGCTAACCTGTTGTAAGTTCGCTTAATATGTATTCCACGTGTGTCAATCACTAATTTCAGTAATTAGATCGCAATGTTAATATTTATATATTATTCTGATAAGTATCTTGTATTTTTAAATGGACTGTATCTCTTCAGTTATCTCAGACTTTGTGTTTCCCCAATTGATAAATTATTTAGTTTTGTATTTACCCCGGTTTATATAGTATAAAAATAGACAATCTCTCCCCATTCAATCACATAGTTTTGTGTACTTTTATTGACTAAAAAACTTTAAATCTAACTCTAGTCATAATACTATTGCAGTCTTGTGGACATAAAATTTCTATGTTAAACACAGATTAGTAGTTTCAAAAATATTATTTGTTTGTCACACTAAAAGTTAAGTAATGACAGAGCAGCACCAGTACAATGAATTGTAAAAATGCTAATTTGAATCCACAAAAATCTAGAAAAAATTACATGTTTTCCACAGATCAGTCTGTTGAGGTTGTAGAATATATGACTAAAACGAAACTAAAACAGAAACTAGTTACACAACAAAACAGGAAAAAGGGAAGAGCTTGGAGGCGTCATAATGAATAGCTGTTAGGAGCTTACATGCTTCAGTGAAACAATCGTCAAAAAAGGTATATCATTCTAAAAGTGCCACGTAGATAAAATCCTTAATGGTCAATCCATAAAGACAAAATCCTGGAAACGGGTAGAAAAGTTTAATGATTACAATAAGAATTAAATTTACTGTAGAAACAGAAATAGGGAACAGATTTATTTTTCTTGATACATCTATTATGATTGAACAACATATTCACTCCAAATTTGGTTTAGAAAGGTGACCTGAAGAGTCACTACATTTATGGCATCACACAAATAATGCATAAACATAAGTTTTCCTTTTTTTTATGGGAATCATATAAAAACCTTATCATGAGTGAAACAAAAATCATCATAATCGGATATTTAATGTGATTTTGGAATTAAATACAGTAGAATGAATTTCTTTTTTTATGTAAAATTTTAGAGAGGTGAACTAGAAAGGCATCCCGTAACCAGAAAAAACAAATGAGATCAACACAGTCACAATGGAGAGACCTAACTAAAGAAAAACAATTTATTTATTTTTTATTTATGGCTTTAAAAGAAAAATCTAAAAGAACTGGTACGAACCTTATTTTCATCTCTCCTTTGCAACCTTCTTCACAGAAAGGGAAAAGTGGATTTTTGTTTTAAAGAATCATTAATGGGTAGTAGGCAGTCAGGAATTTTATTATAAAAATTACCTAAAAATACTTATTGTACTTATGTTGGACTGCCTATAGCTTCTTATGTTTTTAATGGGGAATGATAATAAAATATTACTTCTGCTTGGTTAGTTATGGACATCTTGATCTTCACCAAAGTTACATTCCACTTTTTCAGCTCGTGTTTATGATATTCCCGTCTGTTACAGGCAGAGGAAGCAGCCTTGCGAGTGGCTCCTACCGACCGGGACCACCGAAAAGAATTGGACCAAATGCTTTCATCGTTGGGAGTGGCTCCAGTATCGGATGTACTTTCATCACTTTCTTCTTTATCATCTCTGACCCCAGAGCAGAGCAACAATGCAACACCAGAACCAAGTTTGCAGTTGCATACATCGTCTCCTGTCTCAAGGTTTGTGAACTTTTGTATCAGAATTGCTTTGTTTTTCACATCCCTGTGAGGAAACTTATTTTTCTCCCCATTTCTGGTAACAACTAATATTTTCGGACAGCTGTTAATAAACAAGGTATTGACTTCATCACATTTTTAGTAATGTGGAAGTAAATATTGCATAGGATCTTTGGGTCTTCTAGCAAGATTATGAAATCACTGAAATTCAATCTTGAATATAAAGCTAAATAATCTGCAGGAGACTCAACTCCTAGTGTTTGCACATGCTGTTTGTTTCTGGTTAGTAAGTGAGAGGAAAGCATAATGCAGCAGATGTTAGTTGGAACTATTGTGCTTAATTTAGAACTGACACTTCTGTTCTGTTTAAGTCATTGTGAATAATTGTTAGTTTATGCTCAAGTGAGTAGATTTTAATTGGAGATGTGGCCAATTTGAATGGAAGGAATTTTTGGTTTCTAGAAAGTTTGTTAAAACCAAAAAAATATTGAAAATATTTTTTTCAATTCCCTGATCTATCTTTTCCCATGATTATAATTCCAAATTTCTATTACATAATGTAATCATTCTACTTTTTCCTGAAGTGTAGATTTGACTTATTACTGACACTCAAACTGATATGTCAGTATGAGGAGACATGGTGGGGACGATAAAAAAAAAATGGAAAAGATGTTCATTAAATTCTCCTTTTCCCATGTATAAGCAATATACACAACTACTAAGTGACATTTTTAAAACCAACAAGCATGGTGATGGATTATATTATCTGCTATTTGTGTCTGTGATTATTTTACAGCAAGAAACGTACAGCACAGCTTAGTGTGGTGAGCGTGCAGAGCACCAGCATCCCGCCTAAGGAAGTGGAAACTTATGCAAAACAAACCCAAACGGCAAATACAGGCCATGAGCGAGACGGTGAGTTTCTTGATGCCACCTTGGTTAAGCGCCTTAATTTTAGGATTTCTTTCGAAATTGATTTCACTGCTTTCTTGGCTATTCTCAGTATTACAATTTGTATTTGAGGAATAAATCATTGTGCCTTCGTGGGTCAAATGACAATGAATTACAATATAATCTAATTTCCAAATTAATTGCTTGTTGACAGTGAAACGTTTTGATGATTGATGTCATGAAAGCAGTTGTCAAATAATTTCTTACTCTCCAGATGGGGGATAACTGTTTTCAGGGAGATGCTTCAAATTTTCTGGTTGGTTTAGAAATTGAATCTAATTTTATTAAGTTTGTGATATTGATTTAGTTTATATGATGAATTTATCATAATGATGAACTTGTAACAAATGACTTTCACTGCAATAAATACTTTCTAGTGTTGGCGAAAACTGTGAATCTTCAACATAGGTTTGCTGACATTATTCAAAATTGTGAATTCTGAAAATATTTACTATTCTTTTTTACTTTCTTCCATTGGTGCCACTATCAGATATGGCTAAAGATTTGTAATTTTATTTAATGTTTCATTTTTTTTTAGTATGTGAATCTGGCTATAAGATTTAATGAAATAACAATAATTAAAAAAAAGGAAACAAAAACAGGAAATATTCTCTTCAAATTAGATTTCATGTAAATGAGCCAAGGAATTTGAAGTGTTCAAGATAAGTTTCTTCTATTGTAATATAGCTAGAAAGTAGGAGTTATTGATAAAATGCTTTATTTCATAAACAGTTGCTAATACTATCTAGTATTATTCACAATTAATTCGGAGATTAGTATCCAAATTCCAAATTAACTAAAATCAAAGACGTTTCTGCAACATTCTAAGCTGGTTTATTACCTTCTCCTTATGTAGTATTGTTACAGATCTGAGATCTTTGCTTCTTTTTTAGAGTTGTATTTTATTAACAATTGAAGTTATTTGAAATGAAGGCAATTGCACATTTATGCTAAATTCTCTATTTGACATTGTGGTTGGAAATATTAATTTAACAGATTATGTGACCTGTAGTATACTAAAAAAATTGATTCCTTTAAGGAACAAGGGTTAAAGGATTTGATGTTAACAGTGGAAATTATCATTAATTGCTACTTAATTGGGCTTAATGGGAGGACAGGCTTTGATATTGTCCTCGGATTGTGTGACTTAAACAACAGGCAAGAAACTATTAAAATCTCTTCATCCACTGACTATATGCTTATTTCATGCATTTAACCTTGACTTTTGGAATTGTGAGGGCTCTATAGAATTTAAAGTGTTTAAATTCCCTTAAAAATGTTCATGTCTTCCTGATGCTTACTATTACTAATTATTAATATAGTAATTGCTTTCCAATGTTGCAATGTGTTTAAATGTAAATGTTAATTCGTTTTTCTCTGGAGTTTTCCTGTTAGGTTAGAGAATGATTTAAAGTATAATATCAGTTTGCTGTACAGTTGTGCCGCATTTGACAGAAACTCTTTCCTGCTCCTTTCTAAATGTTCAATAGTTTTCTTGCGGTTTCTGTGTGCTTATTTTCATTATTCCCAATATTTCCTTTTGTCTGGAAAGTTTCCATTATAGTTTCTGATCTGCCCTATCCATGTCTGTACTGTTCTGCATGACATTGCGTCTCTGTATGACTTTTGCATGCTAAATTCTAGTCATGTTCTTATTCATTAAATTTATTCTTCTGAGCTCATGTATATTTAGCATGTGAAAAATTATGTTTTTGTTTAGGTAATATGTATATTATGTTGGAAATGTATTAAATACGTTTTGTTGAAGAAGCACCTGATTCCTGTTATAGTAGTTTGTACATATTCTGTTTGCTTCCTTGCCCAGTTTCATTTTTTTTTTCATTTTATTTTGAGAATTTTGCCATGATTAGAGACTTTTGGGGCTGTGCACAACGTTGTTGCTTGCCTACACTGGGCGGTTATAGTTGGCGCCCAGCACAGGTTTTAGGTATTGGGGGGACACATCTTTATGTAGTGTATTGTTGGAGCAGTATAACTGCCTTGCCAGTAGATGCTGTGATTAGCATGCCACTCCCTTGATCATGGATATACACAGTAGTATGTTACTAGAATTGAGCTACCTTGTACACACTCATGTTTCATCCTTGTTGTCTATTGTAAGATGCCTGCAGTGTTATTCTTCATTTGCTTTTATTGTAATTTTTCAAGATAACATCATGAAGTGTCAAGTGTCAATAGTAGAGCAGAACACTTTTTATGTGGATTCAGACACATTTTTCATGTTAGGTAGCACCAATAGTCTATAGAAACATACACACTGCGTATATCTTGCATCTGTCTTTGGATGAAGGCTGGATGTTGGCCCAGCTATGATCTGAGGCCTTACCCCTTATACAGCCATCCTGTGCCCTTTTCCCTGCTGGTTCCTTGTCTGAGCCAGCTTGGGTGTTGAGGTGGTAAAGGGGTGGGGTGGGGGGGCGGTCCGCTGGCAGCAGCCCGCTCCCCGCTTTTGCGGGCGGCTCTAACAGTGCGATATACTTGCTCTGTTGTGTTTGGTGCTGCTCTTGTTCCCCCGTGTAACAAGGATGGTCCAACTCATCTTCTCCTCTCAAAGGCTACTTCGAGGATTGGTGGAGGCCTCGTAAAGGTGGGTGGCTCTCTTTTTGCTGTTTGTTGTTGTGGTTGGTGTTGTGTGGCTCAGTGTGTTGTGGGCTCACTGGGATGTTATGTGGAATGAAGAGGTGCCTGGGAAGATATGAGGGGCAGTTGGATGGGGCCCATAGAAAAATATTAAGATACTTTTCACTTTGCTGAAGTATTAATCAGGAGTGATACATTGACAATCATTGCATTGGACTACATGTGGTTGCATGTTAGAAGTTCTTAACTCTGAATTAATCAAGAATGTGTAGGTTTGAGATGTGGATATTGCAGATAATAGAAAATCAGTTACGATAATGGTGATCACATTCATGTAATTCTTCACCTTTTCCCTTCATTCTAGTTCGAGAAAGTTTGTTCATTTAAAATGCTTTTGTATGGCGATCAGTTGTTAGAATTCAAGAAAACAGTTGAGAAATGTTGCTTTAGATGGTTTGTGGCATGTTAAGGCTCAATAGAAATTTGGAAAGAGAATGAAATGGCAGGACCAATTCCATAACGATACCATCTATACCATAATGATGCAGATATTATTCTGGGCAGGAAGCGTACAGAACATGTACATCAGGTGTTGGCTTCTCGTTGTGGAGTGCAGTGGTTGGGGGTGTGGGAGGCAGCCAGCTGGTTTGGGAAGGGTTATAAGCTTTTGAAAATAACTAAGTTTATTTACTCTTACAGAGAAACATGGTAATTGTTAGCATTAAAAGTGATTGTATTCCAGGGGAAATCTAGTATATGAAAACTGCTGTGTTTTAGATAAATTTTGAAGTTAAGGAACTGACTTCGTGTAGTTCTTTGACATGGATACTTGCCAATAAGGACCCGACAATGATATCATAGAATATTTTATAGATTATATTATAAAAAAAAATAATATTTTTAAGCTTGTTAAAGTGTAAATCATTGTTTTAGGAAGGGATGTGTTCTGATTTTGAAGTATCTGCATTGTTAAGAGGGGCTCAAAACACTTTTTTTTTTGAAATGTGTGTTTGTCTCTGAGGGAGGGTCAGGTAGCGGGGCCCTGTGCTTGGGTTGCCTCAGGCACTCCTGGCTGCACTGCACTCTGGCATAGATGCCATGTCGCATTCACTAACTGTGTGGCACTCTGTTTATGCCTGCGGCTGCAGCGCATCCTTTCGGCTACTACGGTAAGTTGGCCCTGCTGCTTGCCCTGCCAGTGGGCACTGCTTCAAGGCCGTTGTGCACAGGACAGCACCCCACAGCACTAGTTATAGTTTCTTGTGCCTTGTTATGTTCTGTGGTTCTACATGGCCATCTCCAGATTGTGCCTGTTTTGGCAAGTTCTTTTATATTGATGTTGGAATGAATGGGGAATAAAAACAGTTACAGTCATCATTGAATGTTTTGATGTTTATTCTTTTATTCACTTTCTCTTTCAATTTGAGTTTCAGTTCAAATTCATCTGTGAATAAGAAATTGTAGTGTGAAATGTTGTGTCCATTTGGATATTAATTCTGCTGTGTGATGCTGTTGTGTGCAACAGCCTTAAGAAATACGAAGTGGAAAGAGGCCTTCTGCTGCATGGTAATTTACCTCGTATATACTGCAGAACCTCATTTACACTTGGCATTTCAAACTAATGTTACTTTACCCTTAACTGGATAAGGTATTTTGATATGTTCAAGCTTCATTGCTAGGCTATATCACTTACTATCATTTGTATAAGTTATGATATGAGTTGTTTGAGTCTCATTTGTTGTGTGCATTCGGTTTTGATTGATTACCTTGGTATTGTGGATGTGGAACAGCATTTCGTGATAATTTGATTTTAAGTTTCCAAGATTCCAACGTTACGTTATTATTTTTATATTTGCTTTCCATTGCAACTTAACGCATCTTCCAGTGAGTTCTCAAAAGATAATTTAATATTAAGTTTAAGTTTTAGTTCTTGTTCTTGCTGTTGGGTTGCACTTTGCTTTCAACACTGGTGCTATATGCTCTTCTTGCAACTGCTCGGTTGCTTGCAATTGTCATAATGTGGCAGGGACTTGCAGTTTGCATTTACAGAGAGTTATGTGAAAGGAAACAGTCTTTTGGACATGAAAATGAAAAGTAAGGGAATGTATTATGCATGCTGTTTGCATTGCTTGGGGAAGATTTTGAAGTTTTTATTTGTTCAAGCTAGTTATAGATCTACCTTTTACCTCACAGTATGGTTGTATGTCCTTCCGTTTGCTTTTAAAATTGGAACTTCCAAAAATCTTTCATCAATTTTTTTTATTGAAAGTTTAAAAAAAAATAATTTTAAAAAATCTTGCAATTATTTTTATTTAACAATAGAATAAGAATAAAAGCATTATTTTCAGTTTAATTGACTTCGGAATTGTTTTAAATGATACCAGTATTTGTGATTGTTTAATTCTTGCCAATTCAAAATATAATACAAGCATTGAATACCTCAATATTACATTTAACAATTTATTGTAAGCATTACAAGAGTGAGACAGCAATAAGATATGAAACGAATTTAAATTGTTCCTTTATTGAAATTTTTATAGAAATAAAATTTCTCAAAAGGAGTCTCGAGAGAGAAATATTTATTCTATACAAAATTCTTTTTTTTTTTTTTTGTAGTGTTTTATGTTGAGTATGGGTTTAATTTTAAAATAATTTTGGTATACTTGATAGCATTTCTGGTGGTAAACTGCGTTTTCTTCTGAACATGATTAAGTTGAAAAAGTAGAAGGTGAACAAAATATATGACCGGAATTAAGTAATGTTAGATTCAACCATACTGATGAAAAAGATTGTTTTTTTGTATATGGCCTGGACTAAAAATTTCTTGTCTCGGAAAACTGTTTTGGTTGAGAAACATCTGAATGAAATTTGTTCAGAGGAGCATTCTGGTTGATATCACACATCCAATCTATATTTGCAGGAGTGATTTTCATTAATATTTTATTTAATGCGAAGGGATAATATTTGTTTGACAAACCGTGTTCTCAATTTCAATGTTTCCTTCACATTTCTTGAAATTACATGTAAAACTTTGAAGAATTTCTAATAAACAATTCCTCATTGACAATAATAAGGAGCTTTCAGCAGTGTGGTGTTTTAGTTAAGTTATTAAAAATCTTATTTAATATTTAAATAATTATTTAGAAATTGAATTACAATTATAGTTTCATGCAACTAAATCAGGCCGTTCACCACAGTTAAAAATTTAATTTAGTTTTAATGTGTAATTTTTAAATTCAATTAATAATTAAAATAAACTTGAGTACCCTATGACATGTTGTAATAATTTATTTTTCATTAAACTTGTGGTTTTTCGTGTACTGATATTTGAAAAAAATGAATGCTAGAATATGTACTTCTTTTTCTCTAAGCATTATAATTCCCAGTATATGCAAACTGTTGGTTCCAGAGCTCTGCCTTCACCAGTAGGGACTCTGCAGGGCAGTTATGTGGTGATGGTGATGGGAATCTGTGACTGCTTGCTGTAGTGAGGACAGTGCTTGCAGCCACATAATGCAGTGATACATTGGCTTCCTCTCAAAGCACTGATGCTGGTTGTTGGTACACCACACCACACTTCTCAATAAAATGTGCTAACTGCTTGAAGGCAAACTATTTCTATTCGGGCATTCATGTTTTTAAAACATCTTTGTATATTTATTTTTCATTAAGTTTCATTACTGTTTTTGAGTTTTTTTTTGATTTCTCAATATTAATTTCAATTTAATTTTTAATTTTGTCAAGACTTTTGCTAGCTGAAGTGAAATGAATCTTGAATTTTAAATTCTCTGTGTAATGTAATTGTTAAGCAATTTAATAAGAAGTGATGTAATGAGTTTTTGGGCATCTGATGTTTTGAAATCTTGGAAAAGGCTGTGGTGTGGTGGGTGACCGAAGAAGCATGGAGTGTGCACGCTGGGCTTCTGTAGCCCATTTGTTGACCACTTTGTAAGAGGGTTTTCAGGACATTTACCGGTTGGACCCTCTTGTTGCCACTGCCCTGTTTTTTGTAAAGATTTATATTACATTTAATTTTCTTGAATTTATGATGTTTGGGGCAAGGATGTGCTGAGTTAAGTGTTACTTCATACACTCTTCCTGATCTGTCTTATCAACAAATGTGTATCTGTTGTGGCACTATTGGCCCAGTAGTCCCTTGTACATTACTGTTATAATTTGTAATCCAGTTACCTCAGTTTATTACTAGCTGTAAGTTGCAAGTATGCTTAGAAGTATTTAGAATTGAGGTAACATTATGCAATGTAATGTAGACTAATAGGATTGAAATTTCCGTATTCTGTTAACTTTTTAGTGAAACAATATGAAAGTTTGATTTCAAATTATTCATTGAATTGAATGAAAGGGGAAAATTAAAAAAATCTTTTGAGGAAATTTCACTTGTTTGTGTGCTTGAGGTATTTTGTAATATATATTTTTAATTCATAGAATTGTTGAATTTATAAAAAACGTGCATAACAAAGTTCAAATAACTTGGGACGGGGACTGATCAATTGGGCAGTTTTTTTCTTTAAAAGGCAAGCCTGTTTTGATTTCGACAAAGGTTTGAATTTGAGATTTACTTATATAAAAGAATTTGACCCATACCACTGAAGTTTGAAGTTTTTGAAAGTTCGGGCAGTGGCATGGTGTTCACTGTGTTGAATTGATTGCCTTGGTTTCCTCAACCAGTTTTTTGCAGGTACCTTCAAAATCTTCTTTCAAATTCACGCAAGTTCCAAGTGCCATTTTTATTATACATTTTGTAATGCTCAGTATTTTGGAGCAAAAATTCTGCTGTTTATGGCAAATGTAATAAATGTCCTTCAACGCTTTATTCATTACTTGTTCTATCAGTCTAAGAATTGCTTGAAAATTAAGCATAATTTTTTTGGTGTCTGTGGATTATTGGGGGTACCAGCAATGTTAAGTAATCCTCTCGAGTTTCACTAACATGTACAGTCAACATTAATTCTCCTAAACTTCAACTCTGCTGAACACTGGGGGTTGAGACGGTGGGTGGACCTCTTTCTCGTTCGTATTGGGGGAGGTAGTCTTCTTCCTTCCTGTCTCTTTGTCTGAGCCGCACGCCCTGGCCAGGAGGCAGATTTTTAACACTGTTACTGTGAGTGGAGAGCGAATATTGATTTGGTTTTTCTGTTTCCATCCTTTCAAGACGAGTACAATCTAAACCCCGGTTTAGAGTGGGAGGACGAGTTCACAGGTAGGTCTCCACTCTGAGGTGTGCGCGCCGGCGGGGGTATGAGTGTGTAAGAAAGATTGGAGTGAGAATGAACTACTGGGCCTGCTTTGAAATTCGAGAATGTGCCAGAATGATTTTAAAACTACATTAATATCTGTTTTAGAATATGATTGCTAAGGATTATAGACTGGAATGGGAATAAATTGAATTTTATAAGCAAATTATTTAATTCATTAAATACTTTTTTGGCAGTAATTCAACTTTAAGTAAATTCTTTCAATTTATACTACAAATCTTTGATTGAATAAAATGCTGTTTCTTTGGCACATTTTGGGAACATATGGTTGTAGAATCGATTTTGGAGACTGAATATCTTGTGCATTTCTCATTGAGGCTTGCCCAGAGATAATAGATTGAATGTGTGCTTGTGCCTGCCGGGTAGAGAGCTGTCTGCATGCTGCACGCCGCACGGTGCACGGGGGCGAGGGTCCGCTCACCCTGCCCCGTCCTGCCCCCGAGAAATCCCCGGAAGCTGCGTTAAAGTGTGGCAGATCTTTGGAAAGTCGCTCGCTGTCTGTCTCTGGTCTCTCCTCACTCGGTTTCAGTTCTGTTTGCTTTCCAATTCTGGTCTCCAGAGAGAAAGGAAGTATCTTTGTATCAGCAGTTACACGGGAAACTCTTTTTCTCTTATTCTTCTCTGTGAAAGTGATATTCTCTGGGTGAATGTGGTTGTCTACTTAAGCAAATTAGAGTAAAAGTGATGAGTGTTTATTTGCAACATGCCTCTGGCAGTTGCCTACTGCCCTTGCTATGTTGCCCAGTGTAGGCTTAGTCAGACACGTGTGAACGTGTAGTGATTCGCCTATAGATGTGATGTGCCCTCGCACTTCCCCGTGCCCCTAAGTGCACGGTGCCTCATATCCCAAGCATGTCTCCTGCCCATTCCATTGAGTCTAATGTCACCTGCCGTATGACATTTTTCTACTGGAAGATCTGCAACTTGCCATGCTGCGCCCTGTGATGTAAGGGTTCATATTTTTAATATGTTAGACAATTGTAGCATGATTGTTTGTGTTTTATTGTTTAAGTTGTATAACCCTTTCATATTTTGTAGAAGCATGTATCCTTGATGTAGAACTTTTAATTTATAAAAGGTTCCTGTTGTAACACAATATTCCTGCGATTAATCTTTCTGAAACCCTCACATTGACAAATTGACTTGGAACAAAAAATGCAGACTGTAGTGTGTGATCGTGATCATTAGCAAGATATTTTATTCATTTTTGTTGATTTGAAGTCAAAAGATGCTCTCTCTTGCTCTTGTGGGTACAGTATGGCAAGTGATTTATTGGGAGGCTCCACATACCGTGCGGCTCGTGACATCCGTGGCAAGTGAGACAGCAAACCGATAATGCGTTGAGGCATCTCTTACATCAAATTTCTATTTTAAAATAAACTGTTTTACATAGATTCATTGAACATGTTCATTTGATCGTTATGAAATTGAGATACTTCTGATACATCAGTGGTATTCAGGAACTTTGTCCCATGGAAGTGATGCATTTTTTGTCAGCATTTGGAAGCTGTAATGTTATAAAGATGTTCTTGTAGTTTTTCTTACAGATTTACTTTGTCTCAGAAGCAAAAGCAATCATTCCATTTGAGTGTTAAGAATATTCCCTCAAGTTATAGTAAACATTAGCACAAAAAAATATGATTTGCATATTCATTACAAATTTGGAGAGTTTTGTGTTTTGCTGACATTTGCCCATCTTTGTTTCAATACATGAACATGTATCAATGTTTATGGTAAATTATTGAAAAATTTTTAGCAAAGTAAGAAAATTTACTTTAAGTTTCTTGTGAGGTTATGTACTTCCATGATTATAATTTATTGAAATTTGTCAAGGCTGAATTGAAGATTGTGAAAAGCAATTTTCAAAATATTTGGTTGTGACATTTTTCCTAATTGGAAGTTAATTTGTTTTGAAGCAAGAGATGTTGCAATGCATCAGAGCTTCTATCATGCCTCTAAAATATTTGTGTCTTGCACAAATGCAAGCTTGATTTTTTTACCTTAAAAATTCAGTGATTGATATTTAGAAGATAATATTGCTTTGTGGTGAAAATTATGAGCAAACATGAGAGCTTAATTTTTTCTTACATCTAATCAGATGTGAAATATGAAATTCTCAGAAAAAAATATTAATGAACAGTAATAAAATGAATGGCTCTTCATGAAATAATTAAAATGTTGACCGAGTTGTAGTCAAGATTTTGCACAATTCAAATTTCATTCACAATGTACAACCTGCGTGAGGTTTTGTAGCCTCTCCTGGATGGCATGGTAGGAGCTGCAGGGGTGTGAAGGGTTGGGGAAGTCGTGGGCCAGAGCCCATCGGCATGCGCCCAGCGGGCCAGAGTGCGGTGGGCTGGCTCATTGACTGCAGTTCTGACGTATGACGACGCGCAAGCGGAGGATGAGGAGAGCTCGCTGCCGCATCTGGATGGCGGCTTCCACAGCAAGCTCCCACCCGGCATCCTACCCCATGGCCTGCCGCAAGTGAAGGAGGTTCAGCCAGCTGTCACGTCACTTGAAGCACAACCTGCTGGTCCAGCAGCTGAGAAACCCAAACAGCGTGAGTAGACAAATCTTAAATATAAGAAGTCCTGATGTTTAGTTTTGAAAATGTGTAATTCAAAGAATTTACACATGGGATTTTTCTACTTGTGGATAATTGGTGCTTTTTCATGCACAAGTTTTGTGTTTCTTAAGAATGATGTGACCTAAATGCAAGTTTTGTGACATGCTATTTTTGAGACATCAGTCTTCCTATGACCATAATATAAAAACTTACTGCTAATGAGATTGAATTATTGTCAAGAAGTAATGGCTCTGTATTAGCTGTTAAGTCTAGGTATGTCATGTGTAATTTTTTCTGTTCAAAAATTTTACAGCACGAGAACTGTCAGAGGAGGAGAAACAAATGATTATTTTGACTGAGGAATTCCAAAGATTTTTGGATCGTTCTGCACGCATAATGGAACGTGCTCTGTGTGAATCAGTAGATATTTATACAGATTATACTGGAGCTGCAGATGGGGAAGATGGAACGTAAGTGTTACAATTAAGTGTTTGCATTGTACTTTTATTAGGTAATACCTGGTTGTTAAATATTTGATGTAACTAATTAAGAGATTCACATATGGTGGGAATTTCAGTTCACTTTTGCTCTCTTGTAAACAGGGATGAAAAGAACAACTATAGACTTTCTTTGAACCGTTGGTTTTTTGATGAACGCTGGTCACGTAATCGATGTGTGACTTCATTAGACTGGTCGCCCCAATTCCCTGAACTATTGGTTGCCAGCTACCATAGTAATGAGGATTCTCCTCATGATCCAGAAGGTGCTTGTCTTGTGTGGAATACAAAATTCAAGAAAACTACTCCAGAGTATATCTTTCATTGCCAGTCAGCTGTAATGTCAGCCACATTTGCAAGGTATTTGATTTTTTTTTTTGAGTACATTATCATTTTTTAAATGTGTAAAAAATCTTAGAGTTATTTCCTGAGTAGTATGTGTTTGTTATTTAACACAAATGTGACTCTGTGGCTCTGTCTCGTCTTTGAAAAGTAAAATGTACAATAGCAAATTGAATACAAGGAATTAAAAAAAACAACAAATAAGTGTCCTAAAGGAATTTTTCTTTATCCTTGTAAATTCTGAAAGGAATACGTGTCTATGGGGTTAATTTGCCCAAAGGCAGGTTCAATCTTCAATGCATCAATTGAGTAGCACTAATGAGGCACATAAGGCACACAAGTTTGACACTGCTTTCCAGACAGACAGAAATTGCCAAGAAACCTATCAGTGTCTTGGCACACTAACACTTTTCACAATATGAAAGTACTGTTTCATCCATATACGTCATTTTTGCAATATTTTCGAAAGCTTGTTCTAGCCTTATTGGGAATTGAACCTGGTCCCTTGCACATGGAAAGCAAGCACACTAGCCATGGACTGGGCAGGACCTGGCATGAGCTACCAGGTCTCTTAATGTTATGAATTGTAACACACATTAAAGTAATAATAGAAAGTTGCTACAAAAACTAGGAGAAAGGATTGAATGAAATAATTGTTGTGTACTTGTGAACACAATTTAAACATAATTAACAAAATTATTGATTTTTTAGTACATTGTTCAATTTCTAGTGGGTGTAGAACTGTTCTCTGTAGACACTTGCTGATTTAAGTTTGATAGTATGTTAATTGCTGGTATTAAACCTTTTGTAATGTCACTTTACAATTAAATGACATGTTGTAGGTTTCATCCAAATCTTATTCTTGGAGGCACATATTCTGGTCAAATAGTTTTATGGGATAATAGAGTACAGAAGAGAACACCAGTTCAACGCACTCCTCTCTCTGCTGTAGCCCATACTGTAAGTATTGTCGGTATATGGCTGTTGGAAAATGTTATGCACATATCAGATGTGTAATGATCAGATCAGATTTGATGGAAACTTGCACTCTGGATGCAGATATTTTCCTCTGTGATATGCCATCCTATTTTGATGTTGAAAACAAGTCTCCTTGAACAGAAGTGAAATTTTCTTTTTTATGATTCATTGAGTTTCTAAATCAAAATTTTAATAATGTAATTTGGTTTAACAATCCTTTCAGATTTTAAATGAAACTAATTTTTCCTAATAATAAATATTTCTCATGACTATTGGTACACATTTTTCTCTATTCTTGTAATATTTAGTCAACTATAAAACATAATTTTAACAAAAGTTGAGTATATTATTTTTGTAATCATCATACATCTTCTTTTATATGAGTATTTTGTATTTCAGCATCCTGTTTATAGTTTGAGTGTTGTTGGTACTCAAAACGCTCACAATCTGATTAGTGTGTCAACGGATGGAAAACTTTGTTCGTGGAGTTTGGATATGCTGTCTCAGCCGCAGGAAACTCTTGAACTCCAACACAAGCAAGGAAAAGCAGTTGCTGTCACTTCTCTTGCATTCCCCTCTGGTGATGTCAATAATTTTGTTGTGGGTAGTGAAGAGGGAACAGTTTATTCAGGTAGACCCTTAGTTTCAATTATTTAAAAATATTTTCCATGTAGAGATTTATTTATTAATGGCTTAATAGTAATATTTTTAATAATATTGAATTTGGCATTGACACGCTTGTGTTGTATTTCCAGCTTGTCGTCATGGAAGCAAAGCTGGGGTCACAGAACCATATGAAGGTCACCAGGGGCCTGTTACTGGTGTCTCTACTCATGCTGCCTCTTCACCTGGAAGTGCTGATTTCTCTCACTTATTTTTGACTTCATCATTTGACTGGACTGTAAAACTCTGGAGCTTGCGTGAGAATAGAGCATTGTATTCTTTTGAAGATAATGGTGATTATGTATATGATGTTGCATGGTCACCAGTTCACCCAGCTCTTTTTGCAACTGTGGATGGTGATGGTAGGCTAGATTTATGGAATTTAAATCAAGACACAGAAGTGCCAACTGCAAGTATAACAGTGAACGGATGCCCTGCATTGAACAGGGTGTCATGGACTCCATCAGGATTGCATGTCACTGTTGGCGATGATACTGGGAAGATTTGGGTCTATGATGTTGGAGAGGTTAGTATGAGTTGCTGAGTGGAACTAATTTATGAAATTTCTATTGTCTGCATTTTTGGTTAAACATTTATTTTATGTATTGGTTGAAATTACTCTATTAGAAAATATTGTTTGATCTTCTAGCACACAATAATTCAATTTATTTATTTATTCGAAATGTTTTCTCTTACAAAGTAATAATGCTGTAACAATTTTATTACAATAAAACAAAAATATTTTGATTGCTTAACTAGTGTGTGAAAAAGTGTAGCTTACTTTCTCTTGAACAATCCAATTTGTCACTTCTTAAATACTGTACACTACTAACTACTACTGAATACTCTACTAACTATTGCTTTTTTAAAAAACATTATCTTCAAATCATTGCAAATCATGGAAATTATTATGTTTTCATTTTTTATATATCTTTGTTAAACTTCACCAATACAGAACTCTTCTGTATTTCTGTTAACACTTTTCACAATATCTTACGGACTTTGTAAGGGGATAAAAGTAAAGTATTGGATGCCTCTATAATTATCATATATATTTATTTTAAAAGTGGTATTTTCTTTTAACAACAATATTTTGGCTACATTATGGCAGGTTTCTCATGTTCTGTATTTTTTTTTTTCAGCAACTGGCTCAGCCCCGCCATGATGAGTGGTCTAAATTTGGCTATACTGTTCAAGAACTGAAAAACAACCAGACTGAAGAAGATCTAGATAAAAGCAAATTAATTGATTCAGGTCTTGGTAGTAGCTTAGTGAACCTTGCTTCTCTGTCTTCTAGTTCACTGCGATAACTTTCAATTGTGACCCACTAGTCGTGATGCTGCTGTGCAAGACTTTGTCGTGCACTATTGTTGATAATAATTATATTAAAGATCTAACAATTGAGACTCCAATGCTATATGTTGCATGATGCTTCCTGTGCAATGCTTAATACCTTATTTTCAAGGTATGTACATAAGATGAAGAAAAGAAGGTTGGAATTGAGAATTTGTAATGGCTATTGATTGAATTTGACTGAGTTGTGAAAAGTGTAATAAAATATTTATGAATGATATTTTGTTAAATTTTTCTTTTAGTACTTGTATAGTATGTAATCCTGTCCATTCATTGTATTAAATAGCAAATTGTTCTTAAGTAATGTTTTTTGATATGATAATAATGCAGTTATTGTGGTGAGTTCTGAATGTTTCATGCTAATTGTACAGATTGAGCCCTTTGCCTCATTTCCAGGGTATATTTGGATTCACAAATCTTCAATCCCCCCCCCACACACACATATGATATAATTTTAATTTGATTAATTAAAGGGTCATACTTAGCACAGTTCTTAACTTCTTTCAAAGCATTCCCTAAGAAACAATTCAAAGAGATTTTGTAGAAGAATGTTGGTGGATTACAGTTAGATGAATGCAGCATTCATTTAACTTCTGACTTTTTATAGATCAGTTTAGTGTGATGATTGTAGTTGGTGACAAGGCATGGCATTTTTGAGTGGTCATCACTATATTTGTAAAATAGTCAGGCTTATCTTTCTGGAGCAATGAGAGGGGATGGGGGCGAGAGTAGCTGTATCATAAGGTGTTCTGGTTTCTAAATGCTCAAAACTGCACTCCTTTGTATGATATTTTTACTTTTACTCTCGCTCTTACTTCATAAGCGAAGAATGTATTGAACAAATTTAAGGGAGATAACAAGTGGTGCTAAAATAGCACATACTTTCTCACCCTTGGTAAGTTACGTAATAGTATTTTACTGCAATTTCTGTCCAAATTAACACATCATGGTTGTTTTTTGTTGAACTCTTTAAAAGTTGTAGAACATTAGATGGAAAAACTTAATACTTTCAAGCAAATACCAACACACATTCGACTAATAAAACTGTTTCATACAGCGTGTCCCAAACAATTCACAGAAGTAAATAAAACTTTTCTTGTTGCTGTTAAACAATGAACTTCTCAAATGTCCGTCACTGCCCTGTTGCCCAAGGCAACGTACAGTGGTAATATACAAATGTTAAAATAGTAGTTTGTACAAATTTTTTATGCTCAGTGTTTTCAACTTTTCTTTCATGTTACATTTATATTGTATTTTTAAGAGAGAAAATCTAATTGGGCTTATTTCTTGGGGTTGTTGAAAGGAAAGGCATTACATTGAGAATAAATATACATTCCTCGCATCATGGACAAATATGGATTATCCAATAGGTTTTCAACCATTTCTAAAAGGTTAATTTGTGAACATAGAACAAAAGCTCCAATGTAAGAAACAATGAAAAATGAAATAATATGCAAATTCTAACATGCATAGCATTCAGCTGCTTCCAAGGCCCTCTCAAATTATGTTCACGATCGCAGGAAATACGAAGCGGGTGATGCCGAATTTTACAAAAAAGACTCACATTTTTGAAAAATCCAACTTGACCTTCTTTGAAGATCTTATTTTGACGAAAAAACTTCGTTAAGAAGAAAATTGTATCTTCACAATTGTTGTTGCAGGAAGATGCCAAAAAAAATTTTAATTTTCAAAAAATCACGGATTTCAACAAAAATGAGACCTGATCATTCTTCACCATTCACCTAAACTTGTAGAAAAATTATGCAAATACCCTGTAACAATTCGGCAAAGTCAGAGTCGATCTCCCCTAAAACCAACCAAAAATACATTTTAAAAATTGACTGTAAATTTGATATGGGGCCAGAAATATAGTTGACTTGTTTTACGTTTTACATACCTACGATGATAAAACAAACATTGTTATGTCTATTATAAAATTGAAAAGAGGAAGTTTAAAAATTTTCTATTTGTGTGTCAACTGTTGGAGATGAGTACAGCAGCTTGTCAAACGGTGCAGATAGTGGATTATATTGGCAATATACGTTTCATCATATCAGTACAATCCAAATATATAGCGCATTCACTGCCTCTTGCAAATGTATTCAACAGCAGAAGTAACAGAACATGGATAAGAGCTGCAACAGTCCCGTCATCTTACCCTAAATTAAGAGTTAAGAGTTCACATTACATACGTACTTCAGTTATCAGTAACTGATTATTTCTTACTTGTGCAAAATAGTTAATGACATGTTACTATTTGTAACTAATTTTTCAAGGTTGAATGCTAAGAAAACAATTTGTTTGAAATTTATCTCTTTGTATCCTTGTATTTCCACTACCTCCATATCTTGAAAAGAAATATAAATATTTCATAAATATTGTGTAAACTATCCTTGATAAATACCCTAAAATTTCCTTTTTAATCACAGAAAAAAATATTTATTCTTCCAGAACTTTCAAGAAGTTTATCTGTTGTCGCATGTAATGTTAACAAAGTTAGTTTTGGATTTGTTTTTTGATAGAATACATTTTTATTAGTTTAAATTGGTTTCCCATTGAATTTGGATTTTTTTTGTCTGAATGAATGAACGTGTAAAAAGTTGAGCTGCTAAATCATTCACTAATCTGTCCATGTGTCATCAACTTTTCAGTCTGGTTGATACTTGCTCTTTCCCATGTTTTCTAATATCTTCACCTGAAAATTCATCTATTAGTCTTGTTCCATCTATACAAAGATAAAAGACCTAGTCACATCCTGACTTTGTATGCCCCTTCCTCCAGTTTGATAACAAATTGAGCCTTAAAATAGAGCTCAGCAGTTGGGAATAAGTTACTGTGTACTCAGCTCAGAATGGGAATAAGTTACCGTGGAAGCTATTCCATATTTAATTTTGAATTATTTATATTGAAAGTTGGAAAACAAAATTATATTTTAAAATTGTTTTGGTCAGAACACATTGTCCTCAATCCATTAACGTTGTATAATTATATTCCTTTATAAATGAACTGATTTTGTGTAGATGCTAAATCATTTCACCTCAATTTGTCTGTGTATGAAATGGGAGGTGCCTAGAAAGTGTTGCCCTTTGTGTCCAAGGCAATGCATGGCGTTGACGGGGATCATAATGTACCCAATAATGAAACCATTTTTAAAACCTTTATTTTTCAAGGAGGGAGAAAAATGTGTACATGAATTAGTATTAAGTGATTTTATCTACAACAATTTGTGAGGGCACATGCCCATTACACATTATGTCTACTAGAATTGATGCATGAAGCCAGGGATTACAGAGCCAATATAAAAATTGCACTTGCAGTGCAACATCATGTATTATTGATAATGGTTATGAAATAAAAATATAGTTTTGCAACTGCTTTTGGGTTAACATCACAACCATCACCCAAAAAAGTTATTAGATATTACAAAATTACGCGGAAACTACTAAAACAATATTTGAAACAAGGACACATGAAGTAATTTAAAGTTCTAGTATCAAGGAATTGATTCAATTAAGAAAGAAAACTTTTGCTTCAATAATGAGTGTAGTGCTGGGTGAAAAAAATTGAACATTAATAATTTCCGAAATTCCAGACTATAATGAAAATTGGATGTATATTATTAAGCAATTTTTTCTAAACAAGCAAAACCTTTAAAGAAAAAAATGATTTTTTTTAGAAAATCTTGTTTACATGTATTTTTTATTGACACTATTGGGAATATTCATTTTGATAAAAATTCTGTGTACTTTTAGGCTGCAGTGTTGTTTCATTGTCGGACGAACAGACAGAGGTTTTGAAAATACAACAACAAACACCACCACTTTTTCTGTACCAGCCCCCTCTCCCCCCAAATGTGCATTTCTGTCAAAATTTCGTCATCGATTTTTTTCTGTTCTAGTAATTGCAAATGATAAAGTAAAAAATCGTCTGTTGCCGTGCGATGAGTCAATGTTTTGACAGTAGTAAATGGTCAGTAAATTTAATTTTATATTGACCGAAAACTTTCGGAAATACTAACTAATGTAATAAGTCCCATGGTTTGAAGAGGAATTTAGCGTCGTCCTGCAGAAAGTATTCTGGTACACTTTCACTCGAAATATTTTTGTAGGAAGAATCTCGAAACATCCTGAAGGCCATTTGTATATTAACATCATCAAAATGAATGAACTGGAGCGCCAAGGTGAGCATTAGCCATACGCCCACATTCTTTAGCCTCAGAATACCTACTCCCACTCCTTTGGCAACATTAGTGCAATTAAAACTGAATGATAGCAACGAGCGTTTTAGACAAAATAGAACCAGAAATGTCTTCTTCCATGTAATAGAAACGTTTCGGCATCGACAAACGACCTACAAATTTGACATAAAATTTATTTTATGAAAATAATCAAACTGTCCACTTCTCTCGCCACTAGCGAAGCATGGGCTCAAGAAAACGTTTGCGGATTTGCTATATACTTTTGTGACTGTTCGGAACAGTGATCTCAATTATATAAATAGAGCTCACTGGTTCAGAATGGAACTTCCATTTAAACAAACGTACATCGCATTGATTTGACTTAATTTCTTTCAGCGTTCTTTGATAACCATTCATTCATTGTTGTGTCAAGTTTGAGATTTGTGGTGAGTGAAAGGAAGTGCTTCAATGGTTTCCTAAGGTGACACTGGACGCGGAGCGCGCCGCCCTCCCGTCTTGGTGTGTAAAATACCTTTATTGTCAAGTAGTGTATTATTTGTGCTGTAAATATTTTATGTACATTTACCCATTGGTATAACCTAAAAAAAAAACATAGTAGGAATAATTAGTGCTTAAAATATCTTTATCTGTATGAATACTAAACATATTTATTTACCACAAAGAACCAATATGATGTAGTGGAACATATCGGAGTACTTTCACGGTTGTATATAGCACATTCATAGTTATTTACTGAAAACAATTCCTTCTTAAAGCCTCTCCATAAAAAAGAATTTGGTACTGTGACTAATGAATTCTGTGCTCACTCAGTTTCTTCAAATCGATAATTTAAATATTCCATACCACAGCCTACTCATAGAATACTGCTTCGACATAATTGTAACAAGAAAAACGAGTGGTAAAATACAATACATTATTTTATGAATGAGGTGAACAAATTAATTAATTGAATGTGGGTACAAGAGGGAGAGGGTATAAGAAAGTATGAGATATTCACTGTCGTGTAGCGTATCAGTTTGCTTGATGAGAATGGAGGGAGGGGAGCGAAGCATTATGCTGCCCCTGAGATGTTTTGCAAGAACCCAAACTAGCTTGTATAAACTTTTCTTGTCAACACTTTTCACGAAGGAGACAAACAAGTGATAGAAACTATTACGAGGTCTGTGTGAGTGTATATGAGATATTCTGCTAGATCTGAAAAACGAACTAGAAGTTGGCGCTCACTATCTGCGAGTAAGTTCTGTAGTTCTGGACTCATCAGAAAAAGTGTTCGCACATTTTGTTTGACTGATAATAAACAAAAGTAATATTCTAAGAAATTTTTAAACTCTAGGACTCATAAAAATATTTAGGATTCATTTTTGTATTGCACCCAATTCACGAATTGTACCAAAACAATCAAACGGCTGTCAGTCTTGCTATAAAACCTTGGAATACAATTACATTAAAA